CATGTCTTCCTCCTCAAACGACACGTCAACTTACAACGGCTGACACGTCACATCCAACAGTCGTCACGTCATAGTCTATTAAACGCCATGTCAAATCCCAAATTTGTGAGACATTGTCACATGTTGCGGTGACGTGGCGGATTAATGTTATCACCTTTAGTTAGTTAGAATTAAAGTAGATGTTACTCAAGATTGAGTAGAGTAGATGATAGTGAATATCTACATTGCCACTTCAACAATCCGTGTGCTAGTTGAAAACAACACGTCATCATTTGTTGTTAGATGAAGATTGAATGTGTTAGTTGGGAGCTATATATCATCGATCTATATACTCATTAGATATATCTACCATGTCACTAATCCACTAGGAGGGGATTGCATGATTGAGATATCTTATATTAAAACACAAACAAGAAGATAAGATATTCGTGTTTGTGTTTTAAATATCTATAAGATATTCATGTTTGTGTTTTAAATATCGATATAAAGAGAGTATATCATTCAAGATATATCATATTTGGAGGTTATGTTTCATCTTTGAGTGGGCTTCTCTTTAAACCCTAGTGATACAATTAGGCCACGTAGACGTTGGACTCACGACAAGCCGACATGTGTGGTTTAAAAGGACGATAGTTGCGTTAATACGAATTGCAAATTGACACGCGGCAAAAAGTTACGCTCGAGATGACAGTAAGGATGGGCACACAGGGCATGCGAAGAGCGAGTCAAGCAAACGTGAACAACCTCAAAATATTGCGTCCAATATTTTGTCCATCGATAAGATTTCATCCGTAATGAATAACCAATTTGAGAAAATATTTCATCCATAAATATTATGTTTCATAGAATCTTTGTTAGAATATAGGAAAATTGAATATCATCAAAAAGTTCTTGATGTTACTAATGCATTTGGCTAGTTTTAAAGAGTTAAGAGATGAAGGAAAAGGAAAAAATTGTCGCAAAAATTGCCATGGTTTTTATTTTTGTCGGACTTATGATGCCAAAGAGATTTCAAGCTATGAAAACTAGTAGTTTGTAAGGTTCTTGTCAATATATATGTTTCTTATAATGAGCATATATCATTAAAAGAGGGAAAGAGTTCTCAAGCTCTTTGTATTGACAAGGTAAAATCTCCACTCATGGATAATGTTGTCTAATAATTTGATTCTTATCTTATTAATGATAAAAAAAAAAACACCAGTGTTGGTGATATTTTTAACATAAGATTGAACTAGTTAAAATTAACAATAAACTCAATACATCTGATGCGTTAATCAAAGTTATTTGTTTCAAGAGTTTCATACTACACTGTGCTACTATGTTTGTTGTGCATAGAGCACAAGTAGAGTTTGGTAGCATAGTATCTTAAGTTTTTTTTTATATAATTACTCTATTCTGTGATGATTATGGTTGAGTTCTAGTTAACTCTAGTGTAAAGAGTAGACTTGTATTAGGTTTCTATCTACAAATTACCACGAAGTAATAATGTAGGTTACAAAGATTATTGTTTTCTAAACACGAGTTAAGAGTGAGATGGTTGAGGTTAATGAGTGACCTCATATACTAGCTAAAAATAACTAGTAGTATCGCCGGCGTAGGTATTTATACCACAGGGTTTGTATATTAATTTATGTATTCGGTACACTCTCAAATTATTTTGAGTCAACAACTAGATAAGCCACATATATTTCAAAATATAAAAATTATTATAGATTTCAAAATTTTGATTGATTGACTACATATTAATTGATTGATTAACTACATATCAATCAAAATTTTGAAATCTATGATAATTTTTATATTTTGAAATCAATGTGGCTCATCTACCACATAAATGTAGATTAAAAATAACTACGTTAATTGTTTGATTAACTAATACAATTTAATTGTGAAAAATTAACGTAGTTATTTTTAATCTAATTAGTGTTATTATAGTCTTTTAATATATATTGAAAATATTCAATTCACTAAAAACTTAAATTTGTGGTTGTTTTAAATGACACAATCTTAGAAATTGATATGATTTTATTATGATTCATAGACATATACTCTTAGACGTGAACCATGTATGCTATGTGTGAATTCATTATGTGAATACATGTCTAATTGTTAAAAAATTCATGAAATATGATAATATCATATAGATTCAAAGTTCATAAAATAATCAAAATCAATCAAAATATGATTGTAAGAAGTGAAATCATGTATGTAGATAGTATGAGATTGGATGAGAATAGAATAATAAGCAAAAGAAACATTTACCTCATGCATATTATGATGAGGGAGCATAAAAAAGCTGTAAATATAAAGATTAAGTGTGCAATTAAATTAAATCATAACATCAGATGTCAATAATGATTGAAGTAAATAACTGAGGAATCAATGTTTCATGAGGGTTTTTTTAAAAACATTACAAATAAAGAAAATTTCACCTCTACTTATGATTGAAGTTGAAATGATTCAATCTTCATATTTGTGCAAATTATCTAGATTTGAATTTAGATTTCGTGAGGTGGTCTAAAGACTATGAAACACGTGATATGATCTATACACATAACATTAAATTAAATGAGCTCTTCAAGAAAATTTTGAAGCTATAGCGAGCATAAACAGAACAATACAAACATTTGACATCATGTATCTTCTATGACATGCAAAATTACAGCTTTATGATATTCCACTGACAGAATTCAACCATGAGAGTTTTCAAATGACATTAATAAATTAAAACCAAGATGTATGAGTTCTACCTCAGTACAATGTCGAGTGGATCCAATTTTAAAGTAAAACAGTAAACAACAAAAACCTTAAACACAAGTTTTTTTTAAGAAATATCACTCAAATTACAACATCTTAACAAATATCAATCACTTCACCATCCACCTTAGGTAACACAAAGCGTCAAGTTGAAAAAATAATTTATAAATCTTGGCCTACTCAAGATCTTGAACGTATATCCCGTCAGTACGTGATATATTGATTCTGGCCTCACACTTACTCTATCTTCTTCCCGTAATCTCACACTTACTCTATCTTCTTCCCGTAATCTCGTCCGCCTCCACATCCTTGCATATAGGATGTTCTACGATAGAACGGTTTGAATTTAATGTATATAATGAAATCATGAGTAACAGGTTTCATGCAGATCACATGCAAGACGCGAGGAAGTACAGAACCAATGAGAAGCAAACGCACCACACAGTGTGTACACAGACGGATAAAAATGAGGCCATGATCATTTCGTCAGTATAGTAAAACCTTCACACAATGGTCCTTTTACTGTTTTTTATTTCGTGGGGCACATGGGGCTTGTACTGTATAGAGATACAGCCTTCTTCGTAAAAATGTCCCGGCGTTTGGCATATATCTGTCCTTGTGCGCTGAATTATAAGGTATTATATTCAAAATTTGGGAACGTGCCGTTGTCCAAATTTTCCTTAAAGTTGCAGGAAAAAACAAGCGTTTCGCAGTGTATCTCTATGACCTGCCTTAGGAAGTATTCTCCTTATTTTTCATCAACAATAGTTTGCAACCATAGAGCTGTGTACTGAATTCTCTAAGGTCCGTAAATTTCTCAGAATGGTTGCACTTTTTTCGACTATACTTTGAATCTTTCATAGTTCTTGAGTGTGAATCGTACGCGATTTTTTTTTGTCTTACAGTTACTACTACAAAATGCTGATAACTTTGCCCAGCTCCCATCAGTGCACACTTTAGTGAGAATATTCATATAACTGGTTTCAATCATAACTAACATTTTTTTTTTTAAAGATAGAAGAATTGTAACATGCAATGTCGTTCTTACTTACACAATATCTTCCACAAGTTATGATTATTTGCATTTTTTTGGTCTAAAATATATTTCGCCATGTATATTCTCGTCAAACCCTAAAAAGTGCAGACCGAATGTCATGATTGAATATTCTACTTCTCATATTACATATTATCCAAACATATTCAATTATATAAATTTTATTATTTATGATTCATTTATTACTTAAGAAGGCAAATTATTCTTAATTTATAAAATGAAATCCTCATATATATACTCATGATCAACTTTTTTGTACATATGGAAATTAAAAATCTTATTTACTATCGAGCTCGTTTGTCCTAAGTATTTCTTATATTAGAAATTTGCATGAAGGTGTTTATTACGTTCAGATAGTATGCTCCACTCACGTTAGCAACATGACAAGGTGGTAAGAAAGCTGCACAAAAGTTGATCACCTGAGAGCAAAGTTTCAGTCCAAAAAATGTTGAAACAAAGGTCATATAGAGTTGTAGTTCGGATCTAAAATCTGCATATGGAGTTGACTATTCCACTGGAAACCAAAACCGGCAAGTGCCCTGCCGGTTTAGATTTACTTCAAAGTTTTTCCACTAGCAAGTTTTTACATTTCAATCATTGGTCTACATTTAAAACACTTCCCTTGGTACCGTGGCTACCTTTTCGTCATAAGGCAAGGCATGTGACAACAGTGATGAGGAATTAAAAAGAATTTTTTCTCGGGTCACTGAAGGTCGTGACGGAGAGAGAATATAAAAAGGAAAGAAAGTAAACTCTCGAGGTTTTTAATGTCCTACAAAGTTGAAAATGCCGCAGCTGTTACCACGTCTGCAAAACAGTGGAACCAGAAGGCTCGAGTCCGGTAAACCCGTCCATCGGGCACGATGATTCCCGGTGGCCACCGCAAAGTTCTACCGCACGTATCGTGAAGATATGGACCGTATCTTTATCATGAGCGAGGAGAATCCAGAGGCCAGGTAGATAACGACAATATGACGCAACACGTGGCGCCCCTGCCAGAAAATGACAGTGATCTTTCCTCCGAGATTATCGGCATCGCCATCGCCCGCGCGAAGGACGGGCGCAGTCCCGCCATTTTGGCCCTGTGGATTCCGTTGCCTCCTGCGATTTGGCTCCTCTGGCCGGCGCTGGCGCTGGCTTCACCGGCGCCAGAGTTCTCCGTAGATTCCATGTACCTCGATACAGCACGCCCAGCCGACTGTCGGATAACGACTGCCATTTATTCCAGTCTGTTACTTAATTCTCCTCTTTGTGCAAATGTGCATCGTAATGACGAGAAGTCAAGAGCATGGTGCGATCGGATGGTACCACGAGCAGGAACGACTTTTCATCGACATGTATGGGCAGAAAAAGGAATAAAGGCTCCGAAGAAGAAACTCCAGGCGATGAATCTCAGTGGACGCAGGACTACACAGCCGAGCCTGAAGAAGATGCGAGGCGAGAAACATCATTAAAGAAGAAGACGCCAAGAATGCGTGGATTTGTCGTTAAGGTGTGGTAGAAAGAATAAACAAAATAGTTCTTGCAGCTACTCGCTAATGAACAATAATCACCGGTGGTGAAGAAGGAAGAACTGCTTCGATGTTTTGGGGTTAATGAGTAGTGGTCCGTCGTGAGCAGCGGAGTACTGGTGTACTAGGCCCGTTCCATTTTCAGAGTGCTTCCGGAATCAGGGACCTGTCTACCCTGCTCCAAGAGTCGAGTCTCTCGGTCTCGTTCCGGCTTACCTTGATTTAATAATGTACCGCATATCAAGAAGGTGGCTGTGGTTGAAGTACGAAGGCTGGCAGATCTAGAAGATGGCGAAAGTCCGAGCTATTGGTGGTCACAAAGGCGTACCTACAAAGGCGGTGTATCCCGAGGATTGCTTTCTATGGATGGGCTTCGTTGGACTTATTGCCCCGGATCCCCACAAATGAGGAAACAAATCGATCCACTCGAAATTCTCCTTCCGTGAAAGGTATGCAAGAAGGGGGCTACACTTCTTATCCTTGGGGGGCCTCGATGCATGGACAGATGTAGAACCGTTGCCGTGTTCCAAGATTCTTTTCTTGCACTCTATTATCCAGAAATAACGTAGAAAAAGATCAACATAATCTTCATCCATTTGTTAACCTCTTGGCTGGACCCAGCTACCGTTCACTTTTCATACATTCATCGACCTGACATTCCCAAGCGGGGAACAAGAACATTTCATACGAGAAGAAAGGAGCCGATCGCCAATGCTTCTTCTTGATTCGGAGAAGAGGCAAGGCCCGTACGGCTGCTTTGTTGGGCCCCCTATTCGCTTCATGGGTTCATAGGCGCTATTTTGTGGGTTTTTTATAATGCTAGCTTGCGAAGACATTATACGGCCGCATTTCTTTACACCGACATGTCCAAGCTGTAGACAACAGCAATTCATCCATTCACGAAAACAATGCATAGGAATAAAATACTTCCAAGGCCGTCTGCTAACTACCTAATGAAATGAAGAATGAAGAATCTTACCGAAATGGTCACCATGGATGGATTCGATAGAGAGGTATTCATTGATTCATCATCCTAAGGACGGTGAACGAGGCCCCACGAGGGACATGGTTCCCGCACCTTACACAGTCTGCATTGACCGAGAATGATGAACTACGCAGTAACTGGCAGCGAGAAACTGGCGGAGGTGGTGTGGTGGCAAGTGCTGTCGTCGTCGCCGGTGCAGCGGAGGAAGGATGATGGGGGAGGGACTGGATCGGGTGGGGTAGGGGATGGTGGTACGCAGTGACGGAGGAGGTGAGTGAGGTGAGTGTACGCTCGCTGGCGTCGGGCTTGGACTCCGGCGGGCGCTTCTTCTGTTCTGGGCTGGCCATCTCCTTCACCAACTTTCCCGCTCGCACTGTGAACTTCTTCTTGTCTTGTCCGCGCGTTGTGCGGACGAGTAAGGTTTGTTGGTGAAGCGCATTGCATGCTGTGATTGATGATGTCCAGCGAGAGAGCGAGGGAGGCAGGAGCGATGGAACACGAGGAGGTATAGATAGCAGAGGGCTCGACCTGCATGATTGTGCTGGTTCATTCCCTGCTACCACCTTCTTGAGTTCTCCTCTCGCTCGTTCGTTCCGGGACGGGACGAGGAGGCACGAGTACAACAATTATTACTACTACTAGTACCGATATTCGCAGCTTGGAGCGGCTGGAGCTCGTGCCATGCGCGTCTCCTCGTCCTTGCTATCGTCAGTTCCTCTCTCCCTTTCGATCTCTCGCCATTTGCTTTCAACTCGTTCTGGACTGTTCGCCAATGCTGATCGATTTCATTTATTTACCGATTTGTATCGGGTTCTCTCTGGCGTAGCGCATTTTGCATCGGTGTTCCATGTGATGGCGCATCGCTGCTTTTAGTGCCTCCTGTGCTGCAAGTGTACCATTGACTTAAACTCGTGGTTTTTCTCGTCGATACGCCGGGTCTCCTCTCTCTCTTTCTGTGGTTTTCGTCCGATCTGTCCGCTGAAAAATAAAGAGCTCTTTTCCTTCCCTTGCCGTTCTTGTGATAATACTTCAAATCGAAAAGCCAATGCATGATGCCCGAAGACCTCCTATTCATTGGACGTGAGCTTTCATCAAACGGAGAGGACTCATTTCTGTAGACCTATTTCCCGCAGTGTCTTGAGCAACCCCTTCAGCTTCTTGGACCGCCTGCCTGGCTCTTGTGTCTGTTTAGACTTTCCCCCTCTCTCTCTTTCTGCTCGTCGTGTTGAGGGCGGGGATCATTTCTGGCGCGACTAGTGTTTTGATGCCGATGAACAGGTCCATGTTGCACGGAATGCCGTATCGTTTACAGATCCGTAGGTGATAGATAGTCCACTCCGCGATCGAGGTCCGATGTGCCCTGGTGATTGGAGTGGCTGTTTCTCCCCTCGTGTGCTGACTGTCCGAAGCCTGCAATCGTGCGCATTTGTCGCTTGTGATATTTAGTCCTTTCCTCGATCTTCCTTATTCGGGGGTCTAACGCAGAGAGTGAATGTCTCGGAACTTGCTGAACAGGCCATTCCGATAATATCTCGACTTGAAGCCCTTCGACTTCACGAGTACTGCACAATGTCGGACCTAAATACGCCCTTGGTGAAGAAGAGAAAGTGGTCATGGGTAGACTGGGCAGTCCAGTTTCGATGGATCCTTGTCATTACTGTGGTCTTGCCCGTCTCCATGGCTTTCGACATTTGGGCCGAGTGGGGCGATTGGTGGTCTGCTCGCAAATCAGAGGAGAAGCGTCAAAAGGAGCACGACAAGCATGTGGAGGAAGTGATCAAGAGGCTGAAGGTGAGGAACTATCTCTCTTTGAGTCATTGTCGTAGGGGCTATCTTTGGTCAATGCTTGTAAACCGGAATCCTACAATGTCCGACAAGTCGTCGTCTTCAGTCAGTGTCCATGTTCTGTAGAATGACGGAAAAAATGTGTCTCTTCCCTGAGTGCACTTACAGCTTTGCCTAGAGAAGGTAGCGTGTGGTGCCCCTACATTCGGTCTGCCAGTTAGTTTCTGTTCCAAAGCTTCATGCCAGTTCTCGTGCTGTCGTGCAGTCTAGAGATGCATCGAAGGATGGGCTGGTATGCACGGCCCGTAAGCCCTGGATAGCCGTGGGAATGAGGAATGTCGACTACAAACGAGCCCGTCATTTCGAGGTCGACTTATCGGCCTTTCGTCAAGTTTTGGAGATCGACGAAGAGAATATGATTGCGCGGTGTGAGCCTTTGGTCACCATGGGACAGATTACCCGCATGACCGTTCCCATGAACCTTTCCCTGGCCGTAGTGGCCGAACTCGACGACCTGACAGTAGGAGGCCTAATCAATGGGTACGGTATTGAAGGAAGTTCTCATATCTACGGGCTTTTCTCCGACACCGTCGTATGGTACGAAATAGTTCTTGCTGACGGGCGATTGGTGAAGGCCACTCGAGACAACGAGTTTTCCGACCTGTTCTACGCCATTCCTTGGTCTCAGGGTACCTTGGGCTTACTGGTGGCTGCCGGAATTAAGCTCATCAGAATTAAGGAATACATGAAAGTCACGTACAAGCCTGTGAGAGGAACCGTGCGCGAGCTCGGGCAAGCTTACCTTGACTCATTCATTCCTCGCGATGGCGACCAAGACAACCCCGAGAAGGTGCCTGAATTCGTCGAGGGGATGGTGTATAACGACCACGAGGGAGTGATGATGACCGGAAGATACGCGTCGAAGGAGGAAGCGAAGAAGAAGGGCAATGTGATCAACAGGCAGCGCTTCTACTTCAAGAAGTGGTTCTACCAGCACGCCCAGACCGCTCTGAAGAAGGGAGAATTTGTCGAGTACATTCCAACGCGTGATTACTACCACAGGCACACCAGATGTTTGTACTGGGAGGGCAAGCTCATCCTGCCCTTCGGAGACCAGGTCTGGTTCCGCTACTTGTTCGGATGGATGATGCCGCCCAAGGTGTCATTTTTGAAGGCAACCCAGGGAGATGCCATCCGGAACTATTACCACGAGCGCCATATCATCCAGGACATGCTCATTCCCGCCTACAAGGTCCCTGAGGCTCTTGAGTTCGCCCACAACGAGTTTGAGGTATGTGACTGCGAAGCCCTACATTGATTCTGTCAGCTGTTCAAAGTTTTCCTCCCCCATGAGTCGAGGTCAGCTCGTGCCTCGACTCATGGAGCTGGTCGGGAAGCCTGGAGCCTCAGTTCTGTTTTCTCCATTCTTTTAGTTGACAGTGCAGTCTTCTTGACTTGTTGAGTAAGTGCATGAAAAAATGTCAGTGCATCGAGCACATCGCTTCTTCTCTGATACAATGTCGGTGCATTTCGTCCCACGGTTTGGCTACGTGAGTACGAGCTAGGCGCCTTGGAAGCGGTCGTACTAGGAACCCGGTTTTCTCCATCGCCGGGGAACGCAGAGGGATTTAGTGCTTGTAAGAGCCGATGAAGCTCCAGGGCGAAGCTAGCCACGAAAATTTGAATCACTGCCTGACTCTTAAAGCTTATTAAGTCACATGTAACTTGGCACATGCGAAACTTCTATCACGTTTATTCACGTGGGCGTTCTCACACCCCTACTTACATTCCGATGGATGTGTACGTCGGCAGTTCATGTGTCATACATGGAGCGCTGTGCGGCTCCATCTCGAGCATTTCTCACGTCCATCTCCTTCTTGAAAGAGCACCTTCCACCTCTCTCCACAGTGAGGGCTCGACGGTGAAATTGTCGGTGCTGACGTGTCCAACGCCAAAAGATTTTGGTAGTTCCGTCTAGATAGTGGTTTATATTCCACATCGTACTGACGTAATTTGGCGTCAAGCTCGAAGTCGAGCTCCCCAAACGTGCTCGTCCCGGTGGGGCATAGAGACTTCATAATATCAGATATGAACATGCGTGTTAAGTGAGCACACATGTTCTAGCTCGTGGTTCCATCTGGCTGCCAAAGCTTTAGTTCTTGCCTCGAAATTTTATTGCGCATATCTTTCACCGACAATGTGAGGAAGTCACGTCGAACCTGTCATCTCACTATCTCACGCCTATGTCATGCAGCTGTACCCAATTTGGCTCTGCCCTCACCGCATTTTCAAGGCACCCATGAAGACCATGATCAACCCGCAGCCAGGTTTTGAGTACGAGAAACGCCCCGGTGACACCCCTTACGCCCAAATGTTCACCGACGTCGGGCTTTACTATACCCCCAACGCTGTCTTCCGAGGCGAGGAATTCGACGGAGTGGCTGCCGTGAAGAAACTGGAACAATGGCTCATCGACAATAAGGCTTTCCAGGCTCTCTACGCCGTATCGGAGTTAAACGAGCAAGATTTTTGGCGTATGTTCGACGCCACACTCTACAACAAATGCCGAGACAAGTACAGGGCCGTCGGTACTTTCATGGGTGTTTACTACAAGTCGAAGAAGGGTAAGAAGTCAGAACAGGAGGTCAGGGATGAGGAGTCCAAGGTTCGCGAGACACAGTACGCAGACATTGAGAAGCCAATGTCGGACTAGGTTTAGCAGTTCTGCAGTCTGCAAAGCAATGATCCATCAGTAGGTCGCGGTCTAGAAACTGAAATTTTTTAGAGTTCTGCTTCGCAGAGCTCATAGCTATTTCCATGTACAGAGATCCTCAGCTGATCGATCTTTTGTTTTGAGAGGTTTTTTATGAAGAGAGATTGAGATGGGTTTTCACCCTTTCGAGAAGCCTGGCCAGCTTATTCCAGACTCTCGTTTTTCACGTTTCGTTTTTTTGTTTAGCTTAGCTTTAAAGCTTCTGTAACGAGTTCTGCCAGATAATTCCGGTCTGAGTCAGTAAAGGTCAATGACCTCTTCGTAAAGCGCAAAGGTCTTGAATCTCATTGAATGCACATTTTCGCCCTCCTACTAGTTACCGTTTATCGTGTAAATGTGTATATCGCGATGAGACCGCTCCTACTACTGCACCTGCCGCCTTGAATCTGGAGTGGCGTCCATGCGTCCTCATTTCGTGGTGGGAGAGCAGGATAAACTTTAGAAGCGAAGCGAAACACAAACACAATGATATCAATGTACATTCGTGGAAAGTATGAAGTCTTAGTCATAAAGGTGGTATTTCTGGACCTTTGGTGCCAAAGCCGATGATCAAATCCTCTATGTTAAACTATATTGCTCGAGATAATAACCGAAGTCGTAAATGGAGAGTATTGACATCAAATGATAAGGTCTCATCTAATATACCGACCTACAATGTGCGGCGAATAGTAATATCTTTACCTTCTGCAATGTTCGGGAAAGACCAGTATTTTAAAGTGTCCTCAGCGGATTTTAGACAACTGGATTGAAGTTAGCCTATATTCGAGACCCTCTCTTCAGGTTGGTGCAAACTGGCGAATACGTCGTGACCTTAGTGGAACGGAAGAAATCGATGTAGGTGAGAAATGATGACATCCATCGGAGACGAATGTGAGCATTGTAATGTAGTCAAAAGTGCAGTTGATGTGAAATGCAGGGCAGGAGGCAACGGACTAGCTCTGCTGTGGTGGATCCAACTTCCGGAAAATCTTTTCTAACAAAAATTTTCTTCTTCACAGCACTTGCTTGCTGATAGAGAGGAAGATAATCAGTACGCTCCTCTTTAAATCCCCAGTGACAATCGTCTGCATCGTGCAAGGTTGTATTTGACAGAAAGAGTTCCAACGTTGTCATTCCCTCGCTTGAGCTGGCACCTACACACTCACACACAGAAGCGTCCGGTGGGTGACAGCTTTTTCTTGACGAGTATTTACCATCATGTGCGGCCCATGTGACTTCCTTTCAAGTTTTGCTGCATATTCTATCCTCTGCGCCTGTTATTGTTGGGTGGATTCTCGCATCTCCATGTTCTGTACTTGGCCACAGTGAATTGTCAGTGCGAAGTCTGAGTGAGATAAAGCTTCAACCTCTAACTGCAAACCTCGTTGACCCCAGTCTCTATCCTCTGTTGGCCTCTGTCCACAATTTGTCAGCAGATTTAGTAGCTTTGCCTAAGCATGAGATCTCCAAATCATGCAGCGTTGTTCGACAGACTTATAGTGGACAGAGCACGTGACAATGCCCTCCATTTGTTCAACCGAACAATCTTAGCCTTCGCCTTCTGTAAACAGGCGACCATGATAACCGAGAGACCTTTCCTCATAGTCAACACTCAAACTGAGTGAGTTCGAAATTACTTACCATCGACTCCCCGACTCTGCTGCAGATACATGAACTTGCAACACGCGTCACTATTTCAAGGCTGTCAGATACGTTTTGGAAATATCTATCGATTGAAATCGGTGCCATTGTCTTCGTACCCTCAATCCTCTCCACCGTCAGCACCACTGCCCATCTCCATGTAGTGAGAGGATGTACACACAGGGATTGAACAATGAAGCATATCAGCTCAGCGGGCCGTAATAGTGCAGTTCTGTTGAGCGAATGTCTTCTCGCTTATCCCCTAAAGCCTGTCATTGTCACTGTCAGCTTCAACTTTTTAGTGATGAGGTTGTTGTGCGGCTGATGATCGTGACTTTTGCTGCAGTCTGCTAGTTCGCACGAACAGTCTTCACTCGATGGCATGTGAAGGGCGGGAGCTCCTCGGAACACCATCTCCATCTCATAATGGGCAGTGACGGGTCACCGAACTCCTTCTCCACGCTCTCGTATTTACACTGGAGCCAAACATTTCATGTCACAAGTACACATAATCTGAAACCGCTTCTTCACTTCATTTCACTTCACTTCACTTCTCGTTGCCACATGTCCTTCGCTTCTTCACGAACAAGCCTTTGAGTTGCCAAATCTCTACTGCACATACATCATCACAAAAAGTTCCCGTTCTCGGTCATCATCATCATCATCATCACTTCATGCTCTCCATCGTGTTCGTGTAGTCACCAAGTTTCTCATGTGACGAGGAGGAACCCGTTGGCGCTCGAGGAAGACTTTGGCGATGAGTAGTGGGCCTTTTCTTCTGTCTACGTCTCGTGATCAAGGAGCAAATCATTTCAATCCGGAAGTTGCAACTTCACAGAACTCGGAGGGTTTTTTCACGAGCTGGTGCTGTCCATTTGATTGCTCATCATAGCACCCATATAATACCTTCGTCCTGCAGGCAGGCAGGCGGTCGGTCACGGCAAACAGAACTGTGATTGTACTGGCGGTACTCACTCACAGGACTGAAAGAAAGTCCATGAGCAATGACCTTTGCCAGAACAACAACGAGGCACTAATAACATCGTCGACGGGTCTCTTCGTCTTTTACAAAGAGATCGTTTTGGTCTTCTTCTGAGGGTGGCATATCAATCATACTGTATATCGATTGCAGGCTATATTCCACTTCTAGGACTCTGTTGAGGCAGGGTCCAGGAAACGCATTCAGGGACGTGGATTGCCATCGTAGCATGGACCTCAAAATCGCCTATTCCTTCCTTCGTGTCTGTCGTGTAATGGCGTTCTTGAAGTTCAGGTGTTCGTTCCATCCGATCTTTAGGCTCGATCCCCCCGCCCACTAGTACTCAACTCTCACGAGGGTTTCGCTGGAGTGTGCATTATCGGCTAAAAGTTCTACCCGTGAATAGTCATCCATGCTCTCGAGATTGGCATCGCTTCCCCAGCTGTCAAGGACGACTCTCTCTCGCTCGTCATCAGTCACTGATTTATACTGCCACTCGCAAACATCGAAGCAAACTCGAACTGCGTTCGGAAGCCAGCAAGCAATGAATCCAATGCGAACTTGCTATAACGCATTTGTCATTGGCTTGGACGGAGTTCTTCCGCTCCTCGTCTCGTCTCGTCTCGTCGTCTCATGGAGAGAAAAGAGTCGGAGATAGGGAGAGACGATGGACTCAAAAACCATGCGAGACGAACCTGTGAAGGAGTACTGAGACGTCGAGGAGGAGGAGGAGGAGGAGGAGGACTTCAAGGTACAGGTATGGACGTGCTGAAACGCTCGTCAAAGATTGCATGAGGGAATGGGTGCTTTCACATCTGTCATGAGCCGATGGGACGAGACAAGACAAGACAGGATGGCGACAATTCCTTCTCATTAATCGAACGCTGCATGGATCTGAATCATCTGCTGATTCTGGATTTGGAGCCCGCCGGCCCTCTACTGGAATTTGCCCTCACACTGATACTCGGAATCGAGATCTCATCGTACCCGTTCAACTCTCGGAGACGATGATGACTCGAGTTCCTTCCTCGACAAGGAATGCGGTCATATTGCTGTACAGTATAGATCAGGTACATGCCCCGGAAATCTGGAGGTACAGACCGGAGAAGATATGGGCATGCACGGGGTCCGAGAAGGAATATTTTTAGCGCCCTCCTCGTCATTGACATAAATACTCGAGAGTTGCATTCTCAGTGCGTGAGGGTGGTGCCCCGAGAAGTCATATAAAATCATTCATGTGCGCAGACTTCCACGGTCTCACTAAACGAGCAATGCTGCGTAGTTGTAGTTGTGAGCATATGGCGTTGGAGTCGTTGACAATGATGAAGATGATGAAGAGGATGAGGCTGATGATGATGATGATCCATTCCACCGAGAGAAGTGCACCCTGCTCGCTCTTCTTCTTGTTCTCCTCCTCCTTCCTCCTTGTGCCTGTAATCATGATTCTCACACTGTTCCACCAACCCGAGCCCTATCAGTCCATCTACACTAGCGCTCTGTCTAAACTCCACCAACACTTCCAACTACTCCACGGGAGGTCCCTACATCCCACATCCATTAATGTTCCCCCCTCCCTCCCTCCCTCCCTCCCTCCCTCATTCCCTTCCTCCCTCAACATGACCAGATTCGCCACTAGACTTCTGCACACGGACAGCTTTAAAATTTAACCGTAGCTACGGTGACATGTAGTCATCTATGGCTTCACGAGAAGACTACGACGGATTTTCCACTTTGGCCAGCACTTTGATCAGGACTCTGGGTGTGGGAATTCTAACAGTTTTGTCTTCTTGGAGGTCGCTTTGTACATCGAGCCGAGACCGTTGAAATCAGCTTGCGTGTGGTCTGTTTGTGATTGTGGAGTGACGTGGGTCTGGAGACCTCCCATGGGCTCTGGCTAGGATAATAATAAGTTGGGATGTAGAACGATTTCCGAGGACGAGGAGAGAATTATTATTGATGATCGTCCAGCTCGGGAAGCAAGCATGAATGTAGCAGGGGAAGTGGATCAAGCTCATGTGAAGACTTATTTGCGCCCCTTGAACCATACAAACGGCAGCAGGAGAGTTGGAAATTGGACAATTCATCTTCAGTCAGTCTATCGACAAAATCCTCGAGGACGATGATGAAATTTGCTAACGCTTGATTTGTCATGACTCGAGATTGAGGATCGTGAGAGCACATGGCGTGCATGACCAACCAACCAACAACAATCTCCTCTCCTGACACATGTACTTCGATTTCTCAACTCCATGCCTAGGAAATTATGATTACGCTAAGTCCATCAGAGCAAATTTCTGTTGTCCCTGCAATCTACTCCTTCACATCCGATAAACAAGTCAAAGGGGAGTATATGTTCCGCTTCCAGATTACATCTTCTATGATTGATAAGCACTCGCCTCTGACAATTACATCCGATGGTCTGGGTCCACTCTGAAGAGTTTGGACGCTGTCATGATTCACGCTCTGGGACGCAACTCTCTCACCATCGCAACACTCTGCGCTTCCTACTTGTAAAGTTCCAGGTTTTTTGACGGCCCTAATTATTTATCTTTTTGCCCCTCGTTCTCGTTTAGAATATTTGAAATTAACTATATATTTTTATTTTATATGTTTTAGCCCAATAGAGCTTCTCTCATCTCCAATAAAACGTGGCACTGCAACCAATCATGAA